GGAAGGATGGTTGAGTCATTAGGTTGAACAAGAAATTTTTCTTCTAAGTCAATGATAGCTGTCAAAACTTGATGAAAATGACGACTAATTGTCTCACCAGAATGCCTAAACCAAAAATTCACTTCACGATTTTTTGCATTGTGCGTCAATATATATAGAGTTTTTGCAACCATTTCTTCCATACTTGACCATCGCGTGGGTTGCAGGCCAGCCTCTCTTTCTAACATACCACATAATTCTAAAAAAGTTCTAGGAGTCATCCTAATGATATTTGACTAGAGGAACAATCACTAATTCAGCTCATTATTTCATCACGTACCATTTCTCTCTTGCCACTCAAACTATAACTTATTTTTTTCAACATATGTCACTTGCACATACTTTTACAAGGACACAAGCAAGAAGAGCTGGTGCTCTTCGACGCAATTCAAACCAATGTTGCACCAGTAAAAGATTTTCAGATTCCTTGCTCATCTAACAAAGCAATCAAGAAGAATAATAGAAATCAATAAACAAGCCACAACATCATAAATAAGAGCAAAAGATTCAGTTTCATCAGCAAAAAACAATGATCATATATAGTACGAGCAGAAAACAAGATTTATGTGACTCTATAGATTCCAAACTTAGCAATCTCAAGACAGAAGCAAAAGAACTAGCAATATTCAATGCAATATCACATCTAAAACACGAATAGTAAAGACCCTTCTTAATTTGAAAGACACTAGAGTCTTACAGCTCTATCTAGTTAATAATATATGCGTCAAAATATAATATGACATTGGATTTCTTCAAGACCAAATTGAAGGGCGATGACCAGATAAAAGTAAAGCATTCAACTGGATCATCCCCAATTGAACCTCCGCCCCTCCCCAGCCCAATACATGCTAAAACAAAGTTAAATAACCACACCTTCTAACATGCAAAGCTTGCAACTTCCGAGTTTCAAAGATCAGTATAATTTACAGCGTCCAAGAAATCGATTCTGGCGAAAAGAAAACAAAAAATATGATCACCAGGTTCGAAGAAAGATATCATCAATTGAAATTGGCTACAGTGAATGCCACCATAAACCAGGAATGCAAGTTCTTCGCTTTCATCCGATGATCAAAACATCAATTTTATAGCCCTAAATAGACAAAAAAAGCACGAAATTTTACAGGGAAAAATGAATGGGCATGGACCAAATTACCGTAGAAGGAAACCGAAAGGTAGAGATGATCACAATCTGTGATCGAAGAAGCCAAGGAGACAAATTTCCCTGTAAATCTCTATCTATCATTGCCCCATACCAGACCCAACTTTTACAAAACAACCAGAACAAAGATCAAAGCCACGCATCTGACGGGACGAAGAAAACAGAGCAATCACAAATCTCAGAACAGGGTCCGAACGGAAAGAAAAGAATGAAGAACGAAGAAGAAAACCAGGACGAAGCTCAAATCAAACATAAATCAAGCAGATCGATTCAAAGAAAAGATAGACCGAGCAAATGTGAGGAAGAATCTGACCTGAGAATGCACGGTGAGAGCTTCAAAGAGGAGGACCTGATGGGACGACGCACGGCGGGGTTCGAGCACGGCAGACTAGAAGAACGGTGAGAGCTCCGATAGACCGAGAAGAAGACCTAGAGGACGAGACAGACTAAGAAGAAGACCTGGAGGAAGAAAAAGAAAGCCAGCGAGCTTCTGCGAGTCAAACGTTTTTATTGGGTTTCAAGGGCAATATCGTAATTTTATAAAAATAATGAGGGCAAATTAGTCAACAAATTTAACTCTCCCTCCAAAAAACCCCAATTTAGAGGGAGCCAAAATGAGGGGAGGGGAGGGGAGCCAAAATTTTGGCTCCCCTCCCATCTAAAAATTTTGAACCAAATGAAAGATATGGAACCCCTCCCCTCCCCTCCCTTCCCCTCCCCTCCATTTACCTCCAACCAAACAGGCCCTGAAACTGAGATAAGAAAGGCTGCAGCTTTGGCTAATGCTCATGAATTTACAAGGTACGAGAACCATACTAGGAAAAATTTGTCACTTGTAATTTCAAAATGTAAATGAAATATTTGAAGACACTAAATCTCATTTCCTAGTTCAAGTTGTCTTCTAATAGGGAACCCAAGAGCAGTAATGAAGCTCACTTAGATAGGCCACATCTTGGCATAATCTCTCTCTTATAAGATCCCAACACAAGATCCATTTTCCATTAAAACTTACCTCTTCTTCCTCTTAGCCTAAACTGTTTTTTCTTTTGGTTTTTTGGGGCAGTTGACTTGGCAGTGGAATGAACGATGGGTATGGGACATATTGTGGAGAAAGAGAGTTCAACTAGCAGGATGTCAAAAACAAAGAATAGCTTTAGAACGTGCAATATTGAAGAATCGTGCAGTTTTATTGCTAGATGAGGCCACTAGTGCACTTGATAGTGTGTCAGAGAACTCGGTTTAAGAAGCACTAGAGAAGATGATGGTTGGCAGAACATGCATAATTGTGGCTCATAGACTATCAACAATACAGAAATCAAACTCTATAGCTGTAATTAAGAATGCAAAATTTACAGAACAAGGTTCGCATAATGAACTAATTTCTCTAGGACAAGATGGAGCATGCTATTCTCTTGTTAAACTTCAAAATGGCAAATCTCTTAGCAGGTAAATCAAAGTACTTGTTATATAGAGTAAACTTTCTGTTTCTGTTCTTCGTCGGACCAGCTTGCAAGCAATGTGATTATCACTATCAGGAATACTAGCGAACTTCACTGATTTGGGTGCTACCGTAGTATCATGCATTGGTTTTATGGTGTATGTTATGTATAACTTTCATGCCTAAATTTCAGAATATGAAGCCTCATGGAATTTAGAAATTGGAGTGTCCTATTGTGAATAAATTTTCTTTTTACAAATAACACTTAATAAAAATTGCTCTGAATATAACGGACAAATAAGTAAAGCCCACTCAGACAGTTAAACTCGACAAAAATGATGTGGAAAAATTAAAATAAATGTGTATAAATTGTAAATATAAATTTATAATTCCATAATAGCTCTCAAAATTTTAGAAAATAAGGTATATAATTTTCATTGTGAATAATAAAATAAATTTTATATTAATAATGTTTCTATACAACCAGATAAACTGACAAAAGAGTGAGATTAATCAGGTTTTAGATCTAAAATCATCATTTACTCTTTAATCAAACATTTTAAAAAAATCATTTACCAATATGGATATTATATCGATATAAATTAGGATAAAGGAGTAAAAATACTCATAAAGTGATCAGCTACAAGCACCCAATATCCTAAAATGAGAAAAAGAATAAAAATACCCATAACATTACATGGATAAGTGCCAAAGTGATCAAATTATTAACTTTGACATAATGCCATTAACTTTGACCCTTAAATACCAACTGTGCATGTCACGTGTTAATTTTTGCTAGCGTGGACTAAAAAAAGGATAAAAATACCAACGAAATTATTGGCCAGGAGCAAAAATACTTAAGAAGTTGTAGGCTAAGAGCAAAAATATCCGTAAAGTTATCAGAATTGGTGCAAAAGTGATTAATTCATCCAATTCGTTAAATGTTGACCATTTAGCTAATATCTAAGCAGAAGTTGACAATTTTTCCGTTGATATAGACAAAAAATATTTCCAAATGAATTTTTACATATGTTAATCGATCATCATATAAGTAACTATAATGTTAATTTAGTAGATGCAATAGTGATCAATCTGTCAAAATCACTACCACATGATTTCTTTCCATCGCCACATATCTCGCCCTCTTTCTTTTTCCCTTTTCACTCATTTTTCTTGTTTGCAAAATCTAAGATTCAACATAGTAAAATAGGCCATATAAAATTGAAGATCGAGACTGAGCACACCTAGTTTAAAAATATTGTTACAACCTTAAACAAATGCATTCATGATAAGTTCAAAATTTTCAAATGGTTTTGCTATTACTACAAAGAAACAAATGATTTAATTTTATATTCAATCAAAATGATATTTTCTGACATGATATTCATATAATGATTGATTAACCTCTAGAGAATTTCATTTGAAAATATTTTTTATCTATATCAGTGAAAAAAATGATCAACTTTTGCTTAGGTGTTAGCTAAACGGTCAACACTTAAATTTTTGATGGATTGATCACTTTTGCACCAACTCTGGTAATGTTATGGATATTTTTACTCCTAGTCGACAATTTCGAGGATATTTTTTTTCTTTTATTAGTACACGTCAATAAAGACTGACACGTGGCAAGTACAATCAGCATTTAACGGTCAAAGTTAATAACATTAAGTCAAAGTTAATGGTTTTGTCACTTTTGCACCCATCCATGTAACTTTATGAACATTTTTATCATTTTTCCCACTTTAAGATACTGGGTGCCTCTGACTGACCACTTTGTGAGTATTTTTGCTCCTTTACCCTATAAATTATATTATTTTCAAATTATGAACAAAATATGATATTTGGTCCAATAAATGAAAATTCTCTAGTTCAAAAGCACTTATTTCCTCTATTAAAAAATATAAGGCACTTTTTAAGATGAAAAATATAAAGTATTTTGGGTCTTTCAAAGTGCAATTAATAAAGTTTTTCCAAAAAATCCCTCATTAAAAGATATGAGTAATTAAATTTTCTAATTGAGATACTCTATTAAATAATGGTAAACTAAAAAAAATATTTAATTTTAAAAACAATTAACTAACTCACTAAAAATATAATTTAGTTAAAAATACTTTATAATATTAAACAAAAAGAGTATTATTTTTCAGCTTTTTAATAACACGGAGTAGCTATCATTTTATTCCCCATTAATCTAATCTCTTCATCTTTTTTAATTGGTTTAATTTAATTTCTTAACTCTAATAGTCTAGGGTCCATTAATTTTATCCTAAATTTTATGTCATCTTTTAAAGTATTCCATTAATTTTGTTTTTGTATCCCAGTCCTAGAGTGTCATTAGCATTTCGAAATTCTTACAACTTGATAAATATAGCAACAAAAAATCCACCCAGCACAAGTTAATCGAAGTCAAATCAAATCAAAGTACATAAATAAATGACGTGGCCTAATTAATAATCACGCTTTTGAAAATCTAAACGCCACACCAATCCAAATTCAGCCCTAAGATACATCTCAATTGGAGCTGTCCCTTTATGGACGTGCTAGAACATGATTTGCCACTTTTTTCCTCGAAAAAAAAAAAATAGAACTCAAACTAGAAATTATTAAAAAAAACAGAGACAAGGTGGGGGGAAAAATAAAGCTAGAGAAACAAATCCAGAAATAAGAAATTGACGAAAAGACCCAGAATCAGAAGCGTACAATAGCATCCGGCGAGCCGGGAGGCGTCCGACACGATCACGGGGATCGTGTGCCCGAGTCTGATACCTTTCTTCCCAATCTTCTTCCCGGAATTATCGACGGGGACATTTGCGCCTCCCCATAAACTGTGCCGTCTTGTGTACCACAGCAAGATCTTGTACTTAACCGACGTCGTAAAATTCACCCGGAAATACGTTTGTCCGTTCACCTTCGCCGTCCCGTTAAGTCCTCCGCCATGAACTTCGACGGAACCCTGCTTCTTCGCATTCTTCTGGTGGCCCTGATAGAACCCATCAATAGTGTGATTCGCAATCGGCCTGGTCCTATTCGGATCCAGGAAAACCCCGAAGGTGACGTTGACGTCGTCGTACCGAATCCCCTTGTCCTTGTTTCCGTTATCGAACTCCACCGTGAAGACGATGGTGGAGTTGGAAGGGGTATTCAGGGATTGGTTGAGGGCAGGAACGTAGAAGAACCCGACGTAGCATTTGGGTTCGTTGGTTCGCAGGCTTAGCCAGAGGAACAAGGATGTGAGACCCAGAGTGATTAGGAAGCTAAAACAACACTTGCAGCATGATCCTCCTCCTTCGGATTCCATAGTCTTTCCCGGTGACTGGCGCGTCCCCCGCACTCGCTGACGGCGATTTGAAGTGCGAAGCGAGCAGCTAGGCAAGTAAGTGGTGGAGATTGACTGGAGAGCAAAAGAGTAATGAAAGAGAACGACAGGTGAGCGTTGAGGGTCTCTCTCGATTTGAAGGTTTTTATACAACAACTCAACGAATTGCTTTTTATAAGATAAAATAATCCCTCAACTAACTAAAGAATTTTAGTTTTGGTGCCCTTTTTTTTTTTGGGGAATTGGAATGTGAAAATTCAAGCTGAATTGGTATGAAGTTTCTCACCGAATGATCGATTAGTGACTAGTGATTCAAATTTTATAAAATTAAATTGATAATTGAAGCCGCTTTGCACCTAAACTACATATACTTTTTTTGGCGAACCTCCTAAACTATATTACGAGAAATACAAATTATTGAGTATTGTCATGTTGGTGGTTACCATTATTTTTATTTTCTTGTATGTTAGTTTTCAATCTGAAAGACATTGGAAAAGAGAAGGAAAAGTGCTGGTAAATGCTAGTGCGATGATTAACGACGGGACAATTACTTACCAAATCGATAAAATGGGTTTGAGGAAGTTTCCTGGACTGCATCTTGAACCTAGTGAAGTCGTCGTTGACCCAATAAAAAAAAAAACACTCAGCGAGGCTTCCGCGTGTCGTTTTACTGTTTTAGTTCGAGGTCGTCGATACGCGCTTTTTTTCTTTTTTTTGGAAGGGGGGTGTTTTGGGGAGCTCGGACACGCCAACGATTGGGTATTTCCTTGAAACTCACCGTTCTTCTGAATTTTTTTAATTAATTATAATATTTGTGTAACAAGTAACAACCTTAAATTAAAATCGAAAAAGAACCCAAAAAAAAAGAGAGAGAAGGAAAATCACAAAACTAGAAGGTGGCAACAAGTTTGGCAGTTAATGTGTGAAGATTCACGTGGGCCGAAATATTTTTTGGTACAAGGGGTGGGCTTAGCCCAAAATTACATAATATGTGGGGGATTGAGATCCCAGGGTCCTTAGAATTTGAGGGACCGTGTTATGCAAGGAGGATAATTGGAGGTACGGCTGCACAAAAGATTGGATGAGACTGAACTTTAGCTTAATTCAGAGTTTGGTTCTTTTTATGAAAAGGATTGAGTTAAGTAACCCATAGTCCGGTCTGGTCCTATGAAAATCTGAAGATTAACAAGACTGGACTTGGTTTATAGGACTGAGAGACTGGTCCTGTTAATCCAATACTCACTTAGCCTTTTTTTTTTCTATGATGACCAATAATCTATTTCAACTTAACAAACTCAATTAAGATAATAAAAACACTTATAATCATAATAAATTCATAATAATTTCTAACACCAAAAAAATAATATTTTAGTTACAGTCCAAACTCCAAATGATTTAAATACATAAATTCAATAAAAAATCAGAGGAAAGACCGAAAATAGACCAGAGGAAAAAAATTAGCAAGAACAGAAGTAATAAAAATCAGCCCACAGACATGTTCCTTCAAAGTTCAAACAGATCAAGATCAGAGTTCAAAGTGCAAAGTAGGGGCTAGGGCTTTGGCACACTAAAGAAATTGAGAATGAGAGCAAAGTTAAGTGAGTGGCTGAGACGCTAAGTGCTATTGAGTAACAATGTTGAGGTTTTTTTTTCGATCAAAGTGCAAGGCAAGGCAGGATTAAGACTTTTTTTTCTAAGGCTTATTAATTAATAATTTATAAATTAATTTTAATTATATTAAAATAATTATATAGGACCAAACCGGACCACTTAGTCCAGATGCTTGGTCTCTAGTCTGGTCTTACCCGAAAAATCAATCATGTCTTTTTGATCTTTTTGATCCTATAGGACCAGCATTTTACAGGACTAGACAGGACCGAATTTTCATGGATCGGATCGGAACGAACAAGACCATGAAACTTTTGCACAGCCCTAATTGGAGGCCTTCTTTTGCCGCTATAGAATCTGCTACGAGATTCCGTTAAGGAGGAACATAATAGACATTATATGCCAATCTGGAACAGATTCCCATAATGAAATGCTGGGGCCAACACATTGGGCTGACTCAGTCACAGTTCATCTACCATGGATCTCCAATCCTCTACTGGACTCCTAATACGTTGAAATTAACTGAGTTGGTTCAAGATAGTTAAAACAAATTGATGACAAGATTCCCATTTCCCAAGCGTTACATTTTCGCTCTCGGCCACTCCCGAGTCTCGCCGGAAGTACTGTCTTATGAGATATATATCTGTTCTCGATCAGTTAAAAGGTAGAGAAATTCTTGCATGAAGATATCGTTTCTGCTCTTACTAATCTTATTTATAAATCATTCCCATCATTTTTTACTAGAATTAATGAAAATTTTAAAATTCATTACTTTTTTGAAGATTAAATAATTTTCTACTTTACCTGTATTAAATATATGCTTAAAAAGTTTCCTAATTTCCCACATCAACATTGAATATATAGGAATAAAGGGGGAATTTGCAATAAACAATCAATGCAATATCTTGTAAAAGTACGTACCACAAAGCACCTCATTAATTATACGTGTCTTACACGGAAAGAAGAATATACGACTTGACTTCTTTCCTCCCATTTCTCCTACCTTCACCACGCTTGGTTTTAATATGCAAGAGCTTAGATTTAATATATTATAAAAACTAGTATTAAGTTGTTGTTTTTGGTTAGTTAAAAAGTATCAAAGTAATGGATATTTAAAAAAATTAATTAATATTTTAAACAAAAGGTCATATATTAAGGACCAAGAGAAGGTTCTTATAATAACAACTAGAGGGAGTATATTATATATAGACATACAAGCAGTACACACATATTTTTGTGTGCATGTGAGAAATAAATTTGTAAGTGTATATATAAATAATAGATGTATTGAACTTAAAAACTTTTCAAAAGGAATATTTTTCAAAGGGAATTTTATGGATAATACTTTGATTAATTGAGATAATTAATACATTTCGAATAAAAATAATCTCACTCATAAAATTTTGCAAAAGCAGCGGATTGAATTGACAATACTAGGGCTGATTTTTTGTATTCACTATACTTGACAATCACCAACTAAGCAGTGGGGTGAAGATAGGGTTATACAGCGTGGAATCGCCAAAGGACAGAAATATACGGAAAATTAATTCATGAATTTATGAAAAGATAATTGAAACAGGAGTGACCAAGCTGGTCAAATCAAACATCCCACTTATGATACAAGATCATGTTAATGACAACGATGGACAAGTACGATAAATTAGACATTTATGGTTGGCGTTCATGCCTGAGATTTGAGATTTAGACTAAGATTAGTTTGTAAATCCTTTCCTACCAAATGGGTTTGGATTCTTGTCCGAGTTGGAGTGTTTGGAATAGGACTGTTGACAACTGCCTTGCACGTGCTTTTGTTCCTCATCTTGTGGTTTACAAATTAGTTTCTATACCACCTGATCTCTAAATTTAAGATATTTATCTATCCGAAACAAAAATTTAAAATGTTAAGTATATGCACTGATATTCTATCGAATAAATTTAACACATTAAGCAAGTTATTTTAATGTTCAGCTTCATAAACAGAATTGGATAAGAGCAACAAATTGAGTTAGAAATATAAAAAACATCATGCATACGTAGATGAAAAAACTAATCAATTATATAACTTTTATTGGCTTTGATTGTTACTTCATAACTCCGAGTAAATATGATATAATTTAATTAAAGTACTTGTTAATTGGAAACCAAAATTTTATTATATTAAGCTGTCGGGTTGTAAATTACAAGATACAAATTTTGTCATTTCAATAATATAATATTCCCTCTGTTGAATTGGGTATAAAAAATATGAGATAATTTTAGTATTTTAAGATGTAGTCATTGTATTTTTTTTCAAAAGTTTTCATAATAAATAAATCACTTTATATTTAATTTCAAATAAAACACCCTATTAAATAAAGGTAAATATGAAAAGATAGTGTTAATTTAAAAACAATTAACTACTTTATTGAAAGATAAGATTTAATTAAAAATACTTTATATTTTTTTAATGAAAGAAGTATATAAATATAGAAATTAGTTTAAGAATCACATTTTGCATTTAGTAAGTTGGATTCCTTGATGAGAGACGGACATTTGAGTTATCATAATTACCATTTGAGTAGGATTCCTTAAAGGCTCAAGTCAGCTGCACGTTCATATAATAAGCACGGGACTCGCACAGAGTATAAGCTAAGAGGGCACCCAACATGTAGATCAAAGTACATGGAAAGCAGCTATAATAGTATATAGTACAATTACGTTCATGATAGATTCTTAACGTGACTTCAATCACATACATACATACATACATACATAATACTTGTAATGAAGCTTAGATCAACTTTTTTGTTCTGGCCAAGCTTATCCGGAACATATATAAAAGCGAAAGAATATGCGAGGAAGTAGAAGGGAATAAAGAGGCAATGAATTTATACAGAATAGAAGTGATATATGGGCAGTGAAACTGTTGCCACTTTTGATGAGATGATGGGAGAGGTTGGAAGTTTCTAGAGAAGGAACCTGGAGAGGCCCAATTTATTACCAAGCTCCTTAACGTCTCTATCTGCTTGCTGTTTGTACTCTCTGAAACTGAACTTCCTGTACAGTGAAGCAGCTCTCTCATGGCTCTCTATCACTGTATCGTACGAGGGGCTGTAGAAATATGCCACAGAATACCTCTCTTCCTTCTCTGCTGCTAAAACTCTGTGCTTTATGCTTCTGTATACTCCATTGCTCGCTGCCTGCATATATGTATATGTCGCTCATAATAAAGATGGCTTTTATATTGAGCTGGGTACATGCCTCCAAGGCCCCATGACCCGTTCTGTTCTTATGTCCCTTCTTTTTTTGGCAACTTAATTCTTTGTTCAATCTTCATATATCAGATTCCACAGCAGAACTTGAAGCATGTGGGTTGGATTATGAAGTTTTCTATACGCCAGAAAACCCTCACAAGATATTCCTTTTAATTTGTTTTGTCATGCATATTGGAGAGGAAAAAAAAACTTAAAGCAATAACAGGAACCGAAAATGTCAGACATATATCGTTATTTGTTTCTTCTGAATATTCTTTTCCGGAAGACATCTAATCCAAATGTAGAAAAAGTACGTTGGTCGCTTTTGTCAATTCATGTTAAAGCCTTCAAGCATGTGAACTTCTCGTGGGCTTTGCGCCTTTACCACGAGTTTTGTAATTGAAAACTATGCGGACCATTATTTGTGTAATAATTGCCCTTCTGAACACACTTGGTCGCTGAAAAGACTATCCATTACTCTAGGGAACTTCATTTGCTCCTTTCTTGAAATGACTAACCATTGTACCAATGAACTTCATTCTACATGCTTGATTTCTTTTGTTTAACAAATGGGAAAACAAAGTTTTTGTACTTCTTACAGTTGTATTGATTTGGGTCAAAGTCTTTATAGTTTTTTATCCTTAAAAAAAATAATGTTTAGAGTCCTGATCAACATTAATCCAAGTTTTTTATTATTGTCAAACATCATTATCTCATATTAGTGATATCATTAGCATGTTTCTAAAGCCTTAACCAAAAATCACCATAATTCTAAGAATTAAGGGAAAATGACATTTAAATCCTAAAACAATGGAATAACAGTCAAGTTTTCCTTTTTTTTTTTTGGGAAAAATGAGATGTATATCGAGCAGCAAATTGAAATTTATTTTTTTGCTATAGACCTAGCAATCATTGAATCGATCTTTAGATATAATTGTCATCCTCCTAAGAATTAATTCCCTGCTGAATAAATAATTATAGGGACTTTAATTAACTCAAGCTCACCGAAAAAAAAAATTATTATAGATGCGTGGAAGATTTTGAGTGATGAAGAGAGACAAGATTAGGTACCTGGAATAAATCACCAATATTAACAAGCAGGGCTTGAGGGTTAGGTTTGATTCCGCACCACTTACCATCTTTCATCAACTGCAATCCTCCAACCTGGTCTTCATACACAATGGTGAGGAAACTGGAGTCACTGCGAGGTAAGAGCCCAAACACCCTAGAAGCTACTGGGCACACTGGATATCTATTCAGTCTCAAGAAACTTGTGTTTGGCAAACAGTTTTCCCGGAAATAGCTGGATTTCATCTTCACTTCTTCACCTAGAATCTCAGCAAATCTTTCTGCCAGGGATGCAGCTTTTGTTGCAAAACACTTGAGGTTGGATCTAATGTATAATTTCAACACACAAAAGTTAGATCTCAATTCGTTTATGCACTTCAAACTTATTCCCTAAAAATCTAAAAGCTATGCTGAACCATAATATATGCAACTTCTTTGATTTATGGAGATTCAAGAATAAAATGAATGAGAAGTAGTGAATAATTAGGATAACTTGCACGAAATTTTAATAAACTCTTCAATAATGCAAAGAACTCCTATATATATATACACACACATAACTAATTCACATGAATTTTTAACTTTAAAATTATTGCACATAACCCCCTGTTGTTAATTCAGTCAAATGACATCTCAATATACTTCTTCAAACTTCATTTTTCATATTACAAATAATAATCCTTTTATACTATGTATAGATATAATTCACCTAAATTAAGCCATACACAAATCAATTTCCTAAATAACATGTCCCATTTTATCACTGAAATAATGAATTAATTAATGGCAAGAAGATATCGATCATCTGCAAATTTGAAAATTTGGAAAGAAATCCATTGCCAAATTTACAATATTATATAGAGTATGTATGTATAATCTAAAGTTTAAGTGAATGTGTAATTTAACAAAAATTAAAGCTTTCTATAATCGACATGTGTGTATGTGCGTGTTGAAATATTTTTGCATTATTTGTGAACCGAAAAAAAAAATGGAGCCAATCTGCACGAGATCAATGCATCTCTCAAGTTTCAACAATGCATGTTCTCGCCCCAAATGAGAATGATTTACTGTTTGCAAGTCGATTTCTTTTAGGTTATATATGCAGACTTAAAAGAATATATTTTGATGGCAGAAGACACAGAGGACTAGATTAAAACCACAAGGCTATAAGTAAAATCAAACATTCATTATTTTCCCTTTATTTCTCCTCTATATGTTGAAGTATATACCTGAGACGGGTGTGGTGGTCCATGGTTGCTATATCAGGAAGAAATACATGGAAAGCTTCAGACCATGAAAGTTGCCTGAGAGAAGTAGCAGAAGGGTTCCCCCACCTGTAACCACTACTTGCAGAAGCAGAAAGATTATTCACAAAGTGTTCCTCACACTTTGTGCCAAAAGGACGATGGAACACTTCCATCATTTGTTCTCGCATCAAGCCATCAAGCAGCTCTTGTGGAATCCCGTGATTCACCACCTGGAAGAATCCCCATTTTCTCGCAGCTTCTATGATGTCCCTCTCAGCATTCAACTTTCCAATATCTATTAAAGGTACCTCACAGAACTTGTCATCATAGTTTCGTGTTTCACCAACAAGAGGGGAAAGCTGCTGGCTCTCTCGCAGCAAGTCGCTGTAGATTTTCAGAAACGGAGGCTCGTAATCCATTAAGCGTTATATGTATACTGCAGAAAAATTAAATAGCTTTTTTCATGCAAGCACTGAGTTTCACTGGCTAAACTATATGTATACATTGACTCAATGCTTTTCAGAGCATTGTACGATCTTGTATAAATAGGATCACAAGTCTCCTACACGCGGTGAAACAGAAACCATACAAGGAAAAGCTTATCTTTGATACCCACCTGGATCAGTGCGATTCTATTGGCTGGCAATGGCGTGAAATGGCCTTTGCAATCAAGTTATTTGTTTTTGTGTGCTTTGACTAATTAATCAGTGCCTTGCTAATTTTTTAGATGTATGTTATTAAATCATTTGATAAAAAAAAAAACCCACACATATATTTTTTTAGTTCGATAGATATATATATATATATATCACAAAGACTGAAGAAAACCTTTTCAAGGACTCAATAATAAAATGGTCGTAACCATTGCCATTGCCGACATTGACTGTCATTTCGATTTGCTTTAGATAGTCATGAATAATGGAGGATAAGGTTCTTTAATCAGCTCACCATGCATCTTTATATTATACTCCTATATAAAATATTTTTAATTAAATCATATAAATTAATAAAATTTAGGTATCTATTTGAAAAAAAGCAATATTTTAATTTTGCCCTTAATTATTATAAATAAAAAATTAATATTTTTTAAAATAAATTTATGACTATTTATCTTTTCTTTCTTTTCAACATAATAAGGGTATAATGGTCCATTCATTAAAAAATATGCTAATAACCTCTTACATTTAGAAATAAAAAAATATTCTAAAAAATTTTATCCAAGGATGGAGGGAGTATAAAGCTATGAAAATCACCATATTTCGAAATTCATAGATAAACTTCATAATTTTCCGATCACCTAAGAACAAATGCTGGTGTTGATATTGTATATATTAAGCCTCATAAATGATCGTTTTGCAAAATTTCAGTCCATGCCAATTGATCACACATAAAATAGCTCGCGCCCAGTACCCACAAATTGACTAATCAAAGTAAATGAAAAGCGAATCACTTTAGTTTTGTATTATTAAATCATGAGATCATATGGAATTGAAGACTCCATATAGGCTGGATTCGGATGTCCTCTCAAAACTCAGCTTTCAAAAAATAGAAACTTCAGTTTCTACATATACTGATGGCCAAGTCAGGAAAAAAGTTAAAATTTGGGTTTGGGGATCAATGATAAAATTTAAACAGCTGGCTGGGCCAGCATGTTTCTTGAAATCAAAGTTGAAGAAGAAAAGGCCTAGTTATGTTAAAATTGAAAACTTTGAAATCTATGGTAATTAACTATATACGAAGGACAAATTAAAAGTACTGTAATAAGTGAGAGGAATTTTCTAGCAATGTGCTTGAGATTGAAACGATAGCAGAGATACACAAGCCCTATAGCTACAGTATGAAAGCTGGGAAAAAAAAAAAACAAGTACTTTAATCAGTCAGGAAACACAAAGAAACCCACTTACTATATGAATAGATCTTCCTAATCAGCGGATAACAGGTCAGAGGAACGGCGAGGAACCAAACGTCGAAACTTATAGCCACATACAGCTTGCAGAAGCACACTTCATCAGTTACTTGAGAATAAGCTAAATAGATGTGTGTGTGTGGTGGGTACTGCTCCAACAAGTTGGACTCCTCTCTCTCTCTCTCTCTCTCTATATATATATATATATATATATAGAACATGCTGGAGTACACGTATAGCCAAGTCAAAAGAAACCAAAAACATTAATTTGAGCTTGGTAATGTGATAGAGTTAGTGGTAGAGTTTCTATCTGAAAGAGTCTTGACTCAACTTGATTCAAATTAGTTTGAGCCCTTATTGAGTTTTCTTAACGAGATGTGGAGCAAGTCAAAAAAATTAGATGCTCTATGCAAAAAAAAGAAAGAAAGAAAGAAAGACATAAACAAAGACATTCAATGTAGCTGTAGTAGTTGTTGGAATGTGAATGAAACTCTATGATTTACTTAAAGCGTTTATTAATTAGGAGGGCGAAGTCGGCGGCCAAGCAGTTACAATTGGAATATTATAAAGCAGTTGTGTTCACAAAGCTAAACCAGCCGCATAAATTGAATTCATTTTTTAAAACCATAGTTACTCCCTCCATTAAAAAATATAAGGTATTTATTGAAGAGTTTAATGTTAAAAAATATAAGACATTTTTAGTCTTTAAGGTGTACTCATTGTTTTTTTAAGTACCCCTATTGATAGTGACTTTATGTTTATTATAAGGTATTTAATAGGAATAAATATAAAAAAATGGATCAGTTTGAAAGTGGGTAACTACTTTATTGGGTGATAAGATTCGGTTAAAAACACTTTACATTTTTAAACAGAAAGAATATAAGTTTAAGTCAATCAGATTATTAATCAAATTCAAACCATAGTTAAACATATGAGTTTTCAAGTTGAACTGATAGATTATAATAATGTTTATTTTGTACTTAGAGATATTAAAAACACTTCTATTAAGTCAAGTTTATTGTATAAATTTGAGTATAATTGACTTATTGATATGTTACATTTATCTCTGTCAAATCCAAATTATTTAGAAATAATATAATTTTTTTTCGTTGATTTAGTATAACAATCAAGTTGTGTGAGACGTGGCTGGTATTTTGCTCCCTACAATTTGATTCCTCTTTCAGAGGCTAATTGGCACAGAAACCGAATGAAAAAGAGAAAACTCTGAATTTTATTTCTAGTTTGAGCTCTCTTACAACAAAGTGAGTCTTATTTATAGTGTTAGAACTCTGAACAAAAATAGACAATCAGCTAAAATGTTGCAAATGTAAATGCTAGACGTTTTATTGGCTTAATGAAGGGTAACGAAACACGTTTTGACTTTATTTCTGTAACTCTCGTGTGTTAGTTCTTTTGTCCGTTTCAGTCTGTTTCACTAATCCTCTTCTTTATCACTTCAATCAGGCCATGTGCTAGCAATTTTCAATATATATAGAAAAAAAGTAGTGGTAAAGGTCATTTTGAATAATTTTCAAATATATAATATCTCGATATATTTCAATTTTTTGAAGAAAAGCCATGCATGAAATATTTATACAATTACGACTAAGTTTTTACGGCATAACAAAATGGTTCATCAACATCAAAGTTCTTATGTTGGCGACCCCTCTTTTCACATTCTCACAATTAAAGTGCTTTCATATCTTTTTTTTTTTTCTCCAGCACAAGGAATAAATCTTGTTGATAATAGAGAATATCTCTCTTGAAATATGACGAACAATGATGTGACCTTTTCCAATTGAATATGAAATGTGGTGAAAAGGTTTTGAATAAACATCGAGTTTTTAAAATATACATCCAAAGAGCTCCTCCCTTTAAGGACAAGGGTAAATCTAACTAACTCTTATCACTTATGTATAGAGTAAACTTAGTTAAGAAGATCATTTTATCTTTTATTTCCAGTAGCACCTAAAGGAGATTATATAGCAGTAAACAGTTATGCTGAGATATAATCGCCTTGTCCATCAAGATAAGCAAAATCAAATTTATCAACATAATATACCCCTCAAAATGTAATTTCCAACCAGATGCATTACTAGGTTCTGCTTCAAGGCAAAGACCAAAACGTTGGGTGCTGTTGGGTCAAATTTGCATCCCTTCATCATGAGATGAAGATATTTATACACAAATTCTTTTTACTTGGGGTTAAATATACACATGGTGAAAAGACTATTGTACATGCATTGATGCATAAATGGAAAACATGAATAGTATGGTACTGACTATATTGATGCTGGGTAAAAAGAAGAAGAATGAGTCGGCAGAGGCGCCAGCCTATATTTGATAGATACGTGGAAAGACTTTGTGAATGAGGGACAGGTGTGGCCCTGAGGTTGAGTTTGTGGCGGGGTTTATAAGGCCATTAAAATTCAGAATGATGGTGTCAGGTCTGGTCAGGCTGATCAGTCTTATGCGGACACACACTTCATTTATTGGCCCGCTCATGGCACAGCAGTGTCTCGTATCCTATTATTACTTCGACTCACTCTTAGTCTTCATGCCTGCATTTATCATATGCAACTGGCCCTCCCCTCTGGCTCCTCATTCTGCTTTTGAATCATGTCGGCAAAACTGAATAAAATATCTCATACACGTACAATCTATAGAGTTCTGGCTACATAAAGTACTAGTATTTTATACGTAAACCTTGTGTGGCCCCGCATGTGTAACATGGAGGGTGTTGGCCAACATGCAGAGCGTTGTGTGCGTAGCATGGAGTATTTCGATTGCTTTGTTCGTTGATTTTTGCTTTGGGTGTGATTTACGAGGCTGTGTTCTTTAGTTTGCTTTTGATATGCAATAATGCAAGGGCTTGTCTTTCATTTTATAATGAACATTCAGATTTTATGGCCGCATTAAAAATCCCTTGTAGGCAAAATTGAATAAAACAGATTACACGACGCCTAATCTTATTAGGTCCGAGAGATGGAACTTTGGAACGATGGAAATCCGGATTTTACCGAAGATGTATCATGATTTGAATTTGCATCATAGTACTTTAGAATTGCTCTCAAGCTTAAAACAAATTACCGCCCCCACCATCATTATGGGCATGTATCGGTGTAATTTAGATGGCATTACATTTTGTATTTTAGTCTTGTATAATTTAAGTTAATATTTTTCTTTTTGAGTTTTGTGTGATTTTAAAAATCTAAATGCAGAGCTTTTGCTGCTATGTAGCATTGAAAACTTCAAAATCGATTAACAGCTCCTCTGCTAAGTAGAGAGATTCGAAAAGGAATTCCAATTTGAAACCCTTTTGGTTGGATATATAAGTACTTGGAACTAGGTGTCGATTATGTGTTAAACTAGGCACCCAATAAAAAGGGCAAAAAAGGGGTCCCCAGTCCCCACGGACTGAATGCATATAGCACTGGATATACTCTCAGGTAGAGAAAACATGAAAATAACCAGAATTATAATCATAGAAATGATTATATTATACTGTATGAATGTAAAATCCTACTACACTGCTAGTTTCAATAGAAGACAGATTGTTAACAATAGTCACTCATCATCCTTGTTGGGATACTCTTCTGGAAATTGCTTGAGAAGTTTTACCTGTAACTCAAAACACATCATCCCCTCGAAGCATATCACGAGCCCATGAGACCTCATTCTTCATTGACACCTGAATATTAGGAAATTATGATGACAGGAAAGAGAATCATCCGAAGCAAACACATCTCGTTGTCCTAGGATAGATCTCAAGGTAGATTTCCAGCGAATCTACAGATAGGACAGTGATGTCATATAGAGGATAGGCAAGCTAAATTTACCCAAAAAGTAGATATCTTTTCTGGCCGTATATTGACTTCTATTCTGTATCTCCACAAAGTCAGTAAGCTAAATAATTGCATCCAGATACCATGCCAATTACTTTGTTTCAACTCTGAGTTGTTAGCATGCAATTATTTTGTTTCAACTGAGTTGTTAGTTTATTCAAATGCTTCGGATACCTATCTCAGAAAGGTGCAGCGATAAAGAAGTACTATATTTTCCTGGTTTGACAGGAGTGGAAGTAAGAAAAAACGTAGGATCTGTAAAATAAGAGAGATATGCCAAGAAGAGGAAAGGGATTGGAATAAAAACTTACCATATCTAAGGCTCCTCTAACGACTCCACTTAAGATGTTGCAATAGCATAGACCTTGACATGCACCAGGGAGCTTAACAAAGTCTACCAGGGGATTGTCCTCTAAAACAATGCTGCAACATGTCCCATCAGCATCCCAATTGATCACAGATGCAGTAACACCAAGGAACATTTTAAATCCAACCTGTATAAAACTATTAGATGTAATTTGTGTTTTTCTTTTTTAAATACCCTGACCCTTTTTTAAAATTTTTGGCCATTCTTATTATAATTAATTAATAAAAATATACATATTAATTATCAAACCAAGATGCAATACGTATGCAGTCCACATATGTTATCATGCTGACAAGACGTCAGCACCGAGTTAACTGTGAACTGGCTGTATCATTATAAAACCAAACATTAATGGTGCAGACAGACTCTATTATGCCAAGGTGCAGGGAAAATTGCAGAAAGTGCAAAAAAGCCTGCATAGATGACTCCATAATATAGCACTGAAAGCAAGCTGATACGGATGACACAGCAGGTACACGATTAGATTGGAATAGATTAAATTTTGAAAGATCCTCAACCAGAGTTAAGATCAACGAAAGAATGTTTTGCTAAGGTCACTAAGGCATCACAAGAAGGTATAAATTGAATTCTGTTTTCTCCCAATTAAGTTTTTTGTGTTAGGCATCGGTACAATAAAAACAAATTATTTCCATGTGAATTACTTTGAACTATAATGCTTTGTAATAATAGAGTCAAAATACACAATCAGTGCATTAGACACTCCTTTATCATAAATATACAACAGTAGGTCTTATCCAACTAAACGACATTGGTTACGTAAATCATGCTACACCATTATCCTTTATCATAAGACTTTGCGGCAAACATTTGACTAGGTGTCAGCTCAACTGGAGGTACATATTTTAGAGAAGCAGAACATCGTCGTCAAAAGTACACAAGAAATGAAAACCAATGTGATTTGAAAACTATGCCAGCAAAATCATA